CCCCCCCCCCCCCCCCTTTCAACTCCACCCTAGCGCGCCTCGGGGTCAACGGTTCGAAAACACTGTAAATATCAGTGTTTTCAGCTCTTCCAGTCCTCAGCAGTGACCAAAAATCATGGAATTTACAGCGTTTTTTGTGGCTGTCCGGCAAAAAAACACCGCAAAAACCGATGGTTTTTGATGCGTCTCGGTTAGAAAAATGACCGAAAAAAGACCAAAAACCTGGAAAGATTTTGTCAGAAAGGGTTTTTGAGGCTTTTGGAGGCTTCAAAATTGCACAAAACTATGGTATTTACAGGGTTTTGTGCACCTTCCCGGCAGAAAACGCCGGTATTTACACGGTTTTCTGCGCTTTTCCAGCGCTCAACCATGGTGCGCCTTTGGATCGACGGCTACAAAATACCGTAAATACCAGTGTTTTCAGCTCCTCCTGTCTTCAAGCGTGGCCTTAGACCTTGCCGCGGCTGTGGATCGACGGCAACGAAACCTCGTAAATACCAGTGTTTTTGAGCACGTCCTGTTTGCAAGCATGGCCTGCGGCCACGCAATTGACAGGGTCGCCGCACGTCACTATGTAAATCCGAAGTTGCATTTGAGAAATATGTGACTCCTTTTGAAGGCACGTCAACCTGTATTGAAACCGCTAGACCGCTACAGCTTCTGGAGGTTTTGTCAAGCGCTTGTGCATTAGTTTTTCTTTCATCACGCTCACTCACTTCTCTTCAAACAAGTGGGGGGCCTCTCACCTCCTCCCGGATTACGCCTGATTCCCTGCTACCTTTCGTTCACCCCCCTCCTCTCTCAAGTCCTATAGGAACAAAGAAGGGTCTTGGCCCCACACGACAACTATGGCGCCCCATGTTTGGCGCCCACGGCCAGCAAAAAGACGAGCATTCCTTTGATCCAAACCACGGCGTTTTCGGTGGCCCTGCTGTTCATTTAGCGAGCGGCAGCATCCACCCCCCATCTCGGGCAGAAGTGGAAGAGATGTTGGGGCCCTAAAGGGCCTCGCCGCCTCCCGGCCCTTTACGAGGGACCGTTGAGGCTATTCTTGTCAGTGTGACCGGATGTTGGTTGGCTTGGAGGGGTTGCTCCGAGATCTAGCTCGGTGCCAAGGCTTGGGGCCAGTAAGCCAGTGTCCGCAAGATACCCTCCCTCCAACAATCATTGGAAGTGGACCATTTCCCCGTTGGTATAGAGCGGTCTTCTAGGGCCCATGGTGCATGGCGCCATCCAGAGGGGGGAGTAGAGGACACCCAGCTCTGATCCGCAGATCCCAGCCCATCTTGAAGACCGGACCCTCCCACTGCAGGAAGCCACTGGTGGTGATTACAGCACCTGGGCGGGAAGGAACGTGACCAGGTCGGAGAGTGACCCGAACAGCACCGTCCAGCGACCCAAAGGCGTGTTTTACGGCACCAGGTGCAGGTCGTTTGGGGAGTTCAGGGTTCCACAACCACCATTGTTTGGTGAAGATGTTCCTGCACGCACTGACTTTCAAGCCATAAATGTGGCAAAATGCTATACTGTATAGTTATAATGTAATTTATCTCTTGCTGGAGCCCTTGGTGCGCATCTGCACCATCCGATCCTGTGTCATGTTGGCCTTGCACACCCTAAAGAACACATATTTCATGCATACCTGTCCACACAAGATCTGTCAGACCAGGCGGTTCGACTCATGTTTCATTCACACACTCCTTGAATGGAATCAGATTTAATCATGGGTGGAGTGAAATGGTCCCAGGGGCACTTTATGCCCCTTCCAGCATGATTCTTCCAGGAGTGGATGGCACAGACCGAAAAAGCATGGCGGTTCATATAAGCCACCTCTTGGGGGTTTGTGCCATCTACTCTCAATCCACATCGTTCAGGGTCGCCTCACGGGACTGCGAGAGGCGTCATGAGATGAGGCCAGCCGCGATATGAGTCGCACAGCCTCCACATGGGCCTTCAATGCCGTGAGGTTGCTCTTTCGACAAGCCCAGGACGCTGTGGAGAGAGCAGTCAAGGAGTCTGGAGTTTAACATGCATCCTTGATGCCTAACGTACCTAGCTTCCCCTATGCCTTGGCTTTGTCTTTGCCACTGGGTTTGCTCACCAGCTGCAATTGGTGTCACAAAAGCCACCAAGCTTGGTATTAGTGGCTGGTTTTGCTGCAGGCCTCGTGTTTCCGCGGATTCCCTCGGCTGCACACTCGTTCGATCTCGTTCTGGAAAGGGATTCTCGTTTTGGTGTTGATCCGCTCTGTTTATGCCACTACTGGTGGGATGTGGTGGTGGGAGTTTCGCGCGGTCGATATATCTATACACACACACACCCCTCCAGGCTCATAGTTGATTGGCTTGAGAGTTGTTAGAAAGAAGAAGGCCTTGATAAAACCCATGTTTTGAGAGAGCCTGTGGGGTGCAGCTCTCATGCATTTTCACCCGGCCGGCAAAGCAATCTTGAAAAGCTCCACCAGGACCCCCAAGGAGTGGTTAATGGACAACCCCTGACCCCTCAGGGGCTATTCATGGACACCGGGAATCTGTGGTGCTGGCATATAGGATGTGCCCCAAGTCGCCAATGTGATCATATGCTTTAGCCAAACACCACTGTCATGGCGCTGCCACTGAGGCTGGGAGCTCTTTCCTAGTATTCAGTCATCGCCATCGCCTAAAAACGAATTCGTTGAGGTTTGCAAGACTCCGGTGTTGGTCCTGCTAGTTCTCTCTTTTCAAAAGCCGGTGCGATTACGCTGCGCACTGCGCCTGCGATTTTCCAGGAGGCATGCGATTCATATTGGATAAGGCGGCTCCTTGATTTGCAGGATCTAGGAGGTTTCCAAGCCTGGATTAGCAAACAGATAGCTGGAGTGGTCGAAACCAGGCAAAATGTTCAATGTGAGGTCACTGAACGTCTCACTTACTAACAATCATGGAAGAGGATGCATGGACCCCGAAAAGACGATGCTCCTCTACAAACAAGGGGGTTGTCCACTTCCTTTGTTGGGAGGGAGGCTAACCTCTCTTGAGGGGTCTCAACCGGGGCCTTTCCTGGTTGGTTGGTAGAGGGGAGTGCTATTCGTGCACACAAAAATAACGTATTCCTTTTGTGCCGTGCGCGCATATGGGCTCCCAACAGCTAAAGGAAGAAACAAAAACAACAAAGATCCAATACCCTAAGCTAATACCTTCTTGCAGGGCTTTTTTGGAGTCTTTCAAACGGGAGTCGTCTTCTCCACCTCGGTGGTTTTCACCACCAGCGTCGGAGTCGTTGGACCCGTTAGAATTCCGCCCGGACAGCCAGTCAAACACCACCCAAACGCATCCAAACGCTGCATGCATATGCATGGGACTGGTTGACACACACTGATGTAAACAAGTTGATATAGAATATAGATATAGATAGATAGATAGATAGATAGGCAGACAGACAGACAGACAGAGATAGATAGATATAGATATAGATATATAGATATAGATAGATACAATATACTGTATATCATCAGTCCATACATGGTGCGCTTTGGGTCGGATTGTGGTCACCCAGTCTGCCCGGAGCCCGAGGCTGAGCCGGGAGAAGTTGCAGAAGCGCCTGGAGACCGGCGCCCACGTGGCCTCCTCGTCGGCAGGAGTTCTCCGGTGTTCCGCCGTTCCAACGTGGCACCGCGGTGCCGGGCACCGCTGTTTTGGGGTACGGCTTCAGCCCTTTCTGTGCAGCTGTTTGAACAACACCACTCGTTTCGGTAGGTGGAGATGATGGCAGATGGGGTCTCATGGTGGCACGGGATGTGTAGCGTGTAGCTGTTACGTCCTGTCGGCCTCGTGGAGGATCGGTGTTTTGATGGGGATTGAAAGTTCCTGCCGACAGAATAAGAGCGCTGGCTAGTTGCCAGCATGTTTCAGAAGAGAGCCCGACCCAAATACAGAAGGTAGATGCAACTGTTGATGACATTGAGTACTCGATTTTGATATGTTTGATGGCATTCGGAATGGAGTTATTCGATACCACAATGGTGTTCCTTGGAAGGGATTCATGGCACGCTTTTGACGACTCTCGAGGTGGTGAAGACCCATGAGTGGACGGGGCTTATCTCGCCCAAGACGTTCGAAGAGGTCAAGGAGGTCTTCAGCTCCTCGATTGAGCTGGGAGCTGGGTATAGCTCAAGAGTACAAGCTGAAAAAAATAGTAGCAAGTGCATCGCTACTAGCAACAAGAAGCTACTAGTAACATGAATGAAACCTTTGTTTTTTTCAGGCTCCATGTGAGAGAAAATATTTTGGTAAGATACAGGTTCATGGGTTTCTGTATGGAGTCAGAGTCCTGGAAAACAACCCCATAGATTTGCATGTTGCGCCCTTGATTTTTGCCAGTTATGCTTGCCTGTTGTTTTGCTGCTGCATGAGGTCATGTGGTGGTCAGCGTCAGGGAAAATTTTGACGCTGATCCTGCTTGGATGAAACTCGGAGCAAATCCAATCAAGCATTCGAGCGCGAACGGTGTTTCTCATAGTGGATGACTCCAGAAGAAGAAGAAGAGAAAGAAGTAGGAGAAGAAGATGAGAAAAATAAGGATACATGATGCGGATGTTTTCGAAGGTGGGTCAGTCTTGGAATGGATGGATGCATATGTCCAACAGCTTCCAACATAGAAATGATAATACATTACATGGGACAAACATAATGATTTGATATGATATCATTACGAAATGTTGTGGCGCAACGAGCTCAAGAAGTGTATACAGTCAGTATACATGTTCATTTCTCACGCTTTCCTGTGTCTATATGTTTTCACTGTGGAGCCAGAAGCAGCACATGAGCGACGTTTCTTGCAACACCATCCAAGATGGAAGTGGAAAATGGCTTGTGAGTAGAGGAAAACACTCTTTTCCTCTACTCACACTTCCACTCTGAGTCTCGTTCTGCGTGGCGTCGTAGGTCGAACGGTGAAAAAGCAGGGCGCCCGGCTCCAGCACAGCCCGGGCGACGTCGACCCCCGACGTCGACCGGACCTTCTTTTCCTGTGACAAAAGGGTACTTGAACAAGTCTTACCTGACCACACCAGTGATCTGATGTATACGTTGGATGCTTAGAACTTAGGACCTTCTGTGTTTTTCACCGGACTTGGTCACGCCCTATACGTTGGTCACCATCGATGCCCAACGAGGAGTGTGGCAACTCATTTGATACACTTTGAAGAACTGGTTGCTTATGACAAGGCTCTGCGCTGGGGTTATTTCGGGTTGAGCGGATTGGGTGAATGTTTATGAAGTTCATATTCCCGAACTGGGTGAATCCCCTGGCTCCTGGGGAAGACACTTTGTCCCTGCTCCTGGACAGCAAATCCACCTTTTTGGGGACTGAGGAATGCATGTTCCCGCTTCATGGGCTTGGTGGTGGATGGTGTTGGTGTTGTTACTTTGTTTTCTGTTTTTCGTTGGCGTACCACATCACAAGGAGGTTTAAGGGCCCGAACAATACACAATGCTCGTGGAAGGGGTATGTTTTTGGGAAGGGGCGGGTAGAAATGTTGCTTTCATGTTCTTGGAAAGGCTGGCAACTTGTTGAGGAACCTGCGAGGGCGCCGGGGTGAAAACGCTGAACCCAGAAAAATCCGATTGGTCGGTGTTCGGTGTTCATGATTGCACAAATTGGAAGAAGGGCAACAATAACGATGTACTCAGTTGGAGCTTCAGGCCACCTGCTCGTCGTTTTTCAGGCCAACCCAGGAGATGTCAGCAAGATTGGTGCACTCTCAGTGCTGCGAAAGCTGGCTGATCATCTGAATTTGACCTCCTTGACTGACCACGACTTGCGAGTGACTGGACTCAGCCAATGATGGGAAAAATGAGGAGTTGGAAGAGATGTTCTAGGTTTGCGGGGTCAAGTCCTGCAAGTGCCCGTGCATCAGACTTCCAGCCCGGTGCTGACTGCGAGCAGCAGCCAAGCTACCCCAAAGAATCAGGATTGGTTAACATGTTCCAGTTTCCGAGATGTTGGATGGATATTGCACCTGAAGGACCTCAACCTTGACACCGCCAGTGACCTACTGCAGATAGAACATGATAGAATCCTGCGGAGATCCCCAAACATTTGTGGGTGTTTACACTTCCAGATTTCACCGTGACGTGGGTTGCTGTTCGCCTGACAGGTTTCAAACCCTCTGGAAGCCCCCTGCCACGTGGAAGGCTCCTTTTTAGGGGACCGGGCGGCCCAGCCGCTTCGAACGTTTCACCCCTCGCTGCTCAAGACAAACCCATCCGCGGAGCCCACCAGTTCGAGCTTCGAGTCCGTCGCCTTTGCAATCTCCGAGGTGGTTGACTATGAACTCATGGCCTTGCCCATCCCCACCTGGGGCTGTGACCAGGCCCAACCGCGAGGGATGGGTGTGGCGTGTGAAGGGCGTTTTATGTTCGAGACAAAGCAGGACTTGCGTGTGAGCTGAACGTGAATGGTTGGCACACTGTAAGAGAAAACGCTCTTACTGTATATTGTATAACTACCAGGGCCATCCTGTTTGGGTGTCCACTTGGACTACCCAACCCTACTTATATATCTCCATAGGGCACCCATTGGAATCTGCTAGGTACAGCACTGCTGGATGGCCCGCTGATGACGGAGCATGTTCGTTCGACCCCGGATGACCTGGAGGACGGCTAAAAGACAGAGCGATCCCCACACAGAGAATGGCACGGTGTCCAATACGTTTTTAGTGGGGATCGACTTTTCTATCTATTTGGGGCTCTACGGTCTATGCTTTATGAGCAAACTGAGTTGTTTGGACGCCACGTTCTGCGCCAGGTGACGAAACATTGGCCATTCCACAGGCGCAAGGGTGGACGGCCAATGCCACCGGACCCACGCGTGGAGTGAGGCCTGATACCTGGCGATGAGGGTCGGGTCCATGGTTTATCCTGGATTGTGCGGATCAGGCGATGGTGTATTTTCCTATTTGGGGAAATGGCCTCCTGGTGAATATTGTCTATTTATTTTCCACATGTTTGTCCAGCTTCCTGTCCATCAAATCCGAATCGGATCATGCACGTCACCAGATGGCACGCAGGGTAGCGAAGACGCTTGGACCATGTGTTTCGTTGTGGCGAGCTCTGGCTGGGCCAACGAGTGATGTTGCGAGTGCCAGGGATACGTGCCATCGCGGCATGGATTTGTATGTTTGACGATGTCCTGCAGTTCAGCATTTGGGTTTCTCAGTTGAGGAAAATTAATATAAACATAACATAACTATTATAGCTCAGAATAGCTAAGACCTACGATGCCAATCCCCAGCTCCAGTTTTACATCTTTCCAGTGGGAACCTCAAAAGCTTATTTAGCGGTTGGAAGGAGGAAAGCAGCAACCCCTGGGACCAGAGGAGTCGATTGGTTTCCACTTTGCGCTGATCGAGGCCTGATGCACCGAAAGTGGCACTACCTTCTCCGCCACGGAGTTGGGTTCATGAGCTGACAGGGATGTATAGGTTGTTCCCTTTGTTTGCATGCAAACTGTTTGTGGGCCGAAGCATGTCGAACTTAAACCCTTGGAACTATGATGACTATGGGCATATCTTCTTAGATGATCTTAGATTAAGAATTTTCTTGATATATTTGTCCTTTACTCACATGGAAGGTTCACCCAACACAAGCCTGCGTTTGTGACGAAAACCGCCCAGCACAGCCTTGGTGCTTGGTCAATGATTCTTCTCATTGCAATAGTCAATGAGGTTAGCTTGCTTATCAGACAGAGGTCATCCAGTGGCTATCAATCAAAGGTCCCAACAGAATCGGCCTCCTGACTGAGTGATGACCAAAAGATCGCCCGCGAGAAGCGCTCGCTGATCACATGTGCTGAAGTCTTGAAAGTTGGCAGAGAGGCTGTTGGGAGTCTTCAGAGCAAACTTGGCACCGCGTGGCCAAGGAACCTTTGTGGCCACTTTGTTTTGGCACCATGTGATCGAGGACAGATCGCCGGTGTTTGGCCAGTCTGCGTACATCTCATTCATCTACTGTAGGTCTATTGGCAGGAGCTGGACTGGTCTAAACATCCTCGATATCGATTTGGTGGTTTTGTCACCAGTCAAGGAAGAAGTTCACAATGGATCACAATGGATATCGGATGGTATCGGATATTTCATGCAGGCTTCTCCGCATTTCCAAAGAGCCAGTTTGACGAGGTTTCAATTGACATAATGTGTCGACAGTGTTTACATGGCCAGGCTCAAACCTAGATCTTCTTCGGCGGCAGAGGCGACACCGAAATCGTGTTTGCGTTTGTTTTCTTCACAGTGGGTAGACATGGGATGGTCCGAACATCTCCGATGTATTCCTGGACCATCCTGTTTGGATGTCCTGGCTGAAGATTTGTTTTTTGCGTAGTCCAGGCAGGTCATTCAGAAATTCAGAGAGAGGACGTTTCTTGGCATGGACATATAGTATAAATATAGATGGATTGTAGATATCAATATTAATGAAGCTATCTAATAGCATTCTAATATGATTATTATATACACATACACACACATACACACACACATATAGGCATTCCCCAATATGTATATACGAATGACATGTGTTAGCGTTTTTTTGTTCAAAAATCCACGCCCATGGTTGGAATACGCCGGGCAAAGTGAACATGGAAAAGAAGAGGCTCGTTCCTCTACAACCGGGTGCTTTGGCTCCAGAGGGGTCTCTTCGCCGCACGACTCGGCGGCCGGGAGTCGGATCGAGCCGAGCCACCCTTATGATACCTCAGGATCCAGCCACCCTTATGCCTTACGAGCCGCACCAGTCAGCAAGGAAATAAGATGAAATAAGCAGCATCGAACCCGAGCGAAGCAGTGGGGTGACAGCGGTGTCGCTGGCTGTGCATTGAGGTGCTTTGGCACTGAGACCGCGCCACTGGGCTTAGTCTTGTCCTTGGAGGAGGCAACGAACCTGCTGCGGGGCGAAAAGCCAGTCCTTACACGTCCTTACTGGGTTTGCTTTGAGATGGTCTATCTTCATTTTCCTGATCTCATCTGGGAAGAACCTATTTTAGATCATTTTGGGTGCTGCCGACTGGCTGATTGGTGACAGCTACTGGCACTGAGACCGTTTATGATGACACTGATCTCAACACCAATGGCATCACCTAAATCTGCTAATTTAGCTCTTTCCCTAGACAACACTGATACAACAGGCTTTCGGGGGAACCGGTTGTCAAGCAAGCTCATACTGTCCAGCCAACGGTGTGCCGGTTTGCACAATTTGTTTCAAGAGATCACTGCTGTACCTGACAGGCCCTCTTCTTGCAGCACGGGGCCACAGCAAACTCTCTACAGACGCCCCGGTGGCCCTTGCCAATTCCAACCAATCTTTCTGGTGAAATTCGTTGTCACCTTGATTTTGGAGGATGCTTAGTTGTTTTTTTTAAATGTTTTTAATGTTTTTTTTAATGTTATTCAAAAGCAGCCAAGATGCATGTGTTGTTTTCATTGCAGCGGGCGCAGGTTTGTGTGAAAGGTATCCGCAGTAAGGCTAAGTGAAGGAAGTGAGTTCTCTTCTAGGGGAGTGTGGGGGACTGTGTGGCCGAGCAAAGTCAAAGAGCCCCAAATCTTCAGGATGTTTATGTTTTTTCTGGAGGCCTTTCTGGGCGACTTGGTGATGCAGAACATTCTGCTGTTTGTTTTTGCGGAACGAACTCATCAGCAAAGTGCCTCAAGTTTTGGAAGACGAGACGGGCCACTTGTGGATTCGCAGGGGCGTTATATATTGAAAAATCAAAGCTAAGCAACAATTCTCAGACTGCTTGAGATTAGAGACTTGATGGAAGGAAGAGCCTTGAGGTGAAACCATACCATGCAACCCTTCGCCATGCTCAGTGGTTTAGCAGCACTCATCCAAGTGGTGGAGGTTCAAGCTGCAATCTCTCCAGGCCATTTCGTTTCACTATTTAGAAGGTTCCCTACGCAGCCACTAAGGAGAGGTAAGCAGCCCGTAGGCATGCTTACGCCTCGCTTAGGGTCCTTGTGGGCGTTAATCCAACTTGGTCAACTGCCACTTGCCTCTTGCAACCAGGCCCTGCATCTCAGCGGTCTCATCTCGTCTCCCCTTCGCACGACCGGCGCCGTCACCGCCGCGCGGTCGGCCCGAACCGCTGGAGGTTGGACTCCGTGTTGGTCATTTGCGAGGGTCCAGCGGTGCGAGGGCCAAGTGGGCCTCAAAACCCAACGCAGTTGGAGCCCCAAAACCCTGGGCTGAGCGTACCCCTGCAAGTCTTATGCGTTACCTTGGGATTGGCATGGATTGGAGCTGCGGCTACATCTACAGTATGTACCTTAAAGAAATCTTGAGGTGGGTCCGATGCATTCATTTTAGAACAGATGCTCTCCCTGCTGTGATGTTTCCCTGAGGTCTTGTCCAAAGAGGCATTCTTTGAACGATGTTGTTCACGCGTCCGGTTCCCAGCGCGGGGAAGTGTTCGCCAAGGGTATGTATATAGATTAGATGTATAACCATCCTGGAGTAGATGAATTATTTGTTCAATCCCGCGGTGGGAAAAATGTCATGTTCTTGGAATACTTTGGCCCATAAGCATACTTAGAATAGAAAGCCGTGTGTTTTTTCGTAGAATTCTCGGGTTCGTCTCCATAGCTAAACGCGAAGATGATGGCAATATCAAAAATGAAAGCAAACATAGAAATTACGTGTATACTGTATATATAGTAAGCTATATATGTGTATATAATATGTGTATATATATATATATATCTGTGTGTGTATGTGGTGTTGGGACTGCACCCTAGCACCTACCGGCCCGGGCCCACCAGGCGCTCTGCCACCGGTAGCCCCCGCCTGTCCGTCGGGTGGGCCACCGGGATTAAACCCAGGTATGTTTGGTCCGAAGACCAAGTACTCAACCACCCGGCCACGCAGCCGCCCTGTAGATATATATGTCTTTAGTTATTTACATACATTCCAAGGCACGCTTGATTTTAACAGGACTCAATTTAATTACAGTAAACAGGGATTTACTTGGAAGCACGTGCCAAAGCAATGTTTCAATGTTTGTTTGGGATTTTAGAGCTAAAAAGGAAATCAGTTAAGTTATTATTAATATATGTGCATACACTGTGCATTCAACACGATAAGCTGCAATTGCGCGCAAGCCAATGTTACAAGGACATATGACATACGCCCATTGGCCTAGTGGTTGCATTTTGCATGTATAACGGTGAAACATTGTGAAACCCATGTCCAGCGTATGTGAAACCGCCGCATGTTGCAGCATGTTGAATCGATTTTGTTGGACAGGCCGGGTTCCGAACTCAGCACGCCTAGGTTCCAAACTTCCCTGCATGCTTCGTGACCTACCGGCACTACCGCCAGGATGGCTGGGTGGCACCTCAGCAGCACTGGCGGCAGTGGCTCTAAGCTGGTTGAGGATGACCCAGTCTTGAAGCAAGCATCAGTGGCACATGGGAGCTGCAGTGAAAAGGTTTAGGGTGGGGAAATCGCATGGGCTATCGGTTTATGTTTGTCCTTTTTGCAAAGGGGCTTAAACATGGGTGCTGCGCGCCTCCAGCGAATTGATGCTGAGCAGGGTACCTGCTGAGCCACCAACCCAATGAAGATGTTGAACGTCTGGAGACATCTGGAGGATCCTTGTTTTCGCCCATGAAGTGTTTGGGCCAGAAAGCTGAGGGCCACACCGAACCAAATGGAGAGTTTCTGCGGTGAACATCCACCCTCAAGCGGAACATGCACACCGTTGAGAAGTTTGAACTGGGTGGTGGTTTCATTTTTTTAATGTTCGACCTTTACTTGCGATGATTGAGCCCGCTGACTCCTATTGTTTTGAGTTGAAACCACGAACCTAAAATGTTCCGCCCAAAAAACCACCATTCCCTGGTTTTTAGGGGGGATCCGTCAACGAAGCTGGTGAAGGGGGCCACTGATATGGACTCAGTCCATGTCAGTCCCCCTGGGAGTTCAGGTGCGGCCGGATGCCTTGAAGTTTGGCTGCCACTTCTTGCTCTACGAGGGGTCACCAAGTGAGGCTGGATGCCTTGAACCTGCCAACTTCATGCGTGAGACGTCCACCCCCCGACGTACGCCGGTTGACCCGGCGTCACCGACCGTGGCACGGCGTCCGACACATCGAACAACGGGCGGCTCGTGGCTCGTGGTCGACGTGTGTGTTGTGTTTTTCTCCGGTGAAGTCTTAGGGTCCATGTTAGCCATGTTTCACTCTGACTCACCAACATGGAAATGGAACATCCACCTGTTTGTAGACGAAAAATAGTCTTCACAGGGTTAATCACGAAAGCTAGCATCAGCTAGATGGAGTTGCTCTTGCTTTAGCAAGTCAAGGGCTCGCAGCCTCGAGAATCATGAATCACGTGAAAACTTCACGTGTAGGGGGGGGGGCCCTCCCCCCCCCCGCGGGTTCAACTCCACCCTGGGACGCTTCCGGTACGTGCTATAGTGCTATGTTTAGGTGGCAGGTGAAGTAGGCCACTGTTTGAGTTTGGAAGGGGGGGCATGAAACATGAAATTTACGCGAGGGTTCAAGGCTTCAATGATGAGCATCACGGGAAGTCAGAAACCAGGCGTATCAGATACACGTGCCTTTGAGCTTCCTTCGGCATCTAAGTGCATATGGCTGACACTTCACTCGACAAAGATGCAAACAAACATACATAAACCAGGTGTATCTGATACGCCTGGTTTGTGACGCCTGGTTTGTGACTTCCCGTGATGCTCATGATGCTGCGTTGCTTTTCTTCAGTCCCTCATTACATATACATGACGATCCAACAGCAGATTCAAC